TTTGAACGTTGTTTTCAATTTAGACTTGTTTATATTTTTTCGTTTGGGCTTGTATTATATTTGCCTTCGGGTTTATATGATCCGTTTATCCTATTTTGACTCTTTCAAAATTCAAGAGTCTATCCTAAATTGAGGTAAACTATATGGCCTTCCAAATACCGTTTCGATTCCTAACATCACTGAAGAGACATTAATTGTCGAAATCCGGATATGGTGTACAAATTTTTGCACCTCATGTTTGCGGTATACCATCTTTTCCGCAAGTTTATTGTTTTCTGTTTGGTAGTAAATTAATAATAAGATCTATTTTGTTACATCTTGTGATCCGTTTATTTGGCAATCGCCTATGACAGTCAGCAGGGTTTAAGAACATCAGTTGTTCGACCTGCTAGTCAAATGCGTTTTGTTAAAATATACTTTTTCACTCATTTGGTCTTTTAGAAAATGTTGTTTGTGCTGTATTTATACCCCTCTACCAAGAAATTTGTTTTGCATGCACACGTATAAAAATTGCGGTTTTTATCCAACGCAATCATAGGTTTGAACGTTGTTTTCAATTTAGACTTGTTTATAAATGAACATATGATGCACATCGGTACAACGTACACACAGGGCGTGTACCTTTATGTATACATAATAGACAATTGTATAGTATAAGTTGGTAGCCGCGAGGTTAACATGGTTAATATAAATGAGTTAAAGAGTCAGGTTAAAGGTATAGACTTGTCGGTTTAGGTTCGAATCCCTGTATTCTCTTTGTTGTCCCTATTCTTTAGTTTTTCTGTTTTCTTATTTTGTATGTTACTGTGGATATTTTTGTAATTATAGCGGGGTTTCCCGTTTTTATTTTTGATTATTATTTGCTATTCACATAATTGAAAAGAAAATGATTACATTCAATTCGTCAATGTTTTTTATAAATCTGGTATGCGTTCATGTGTTTTACTACATATCTTTACAAATGTTTATTCGCAAATCCCTATGCGTAAATCGTAATGTGTCTAGAATTAGCCTTCTTGATATAATTATCGGTAGCATATGTATTATATGTACTAAGAAATAAGTTCGAATATGTCTTATTTTGTAAATTACGGATGATATATATTCAGATGCCTGCTAATCTAAAGACAGACGTTTTATGTTATATTTGTATTTCTCTAACCAATTAATTGTGAACTTAGATTTATTAATGCATCGTTGAACATGATAACATGGTTATTTAAACTCACTTACAATACCTTCTAATCAAGAAAAGGCTCTTATTTCGAAAAGATATCAACACAATAGTATAAGTTAGAGATACAACGAATAAGCGTTGATTCAGGAAAAACAAACCATTCGCCCAGTTTTGAAAAAAAATGTATTGCCATTCAAAAGAAAATTATTCTAAATAGTTCAATTCGTTAAAAATTGTTGAAAAATAATCTGCTTTTCCGCGATAAAAATGTCATATAACACCTCGGGGTGTCATGATTGCCCAAAGAAAGACATCCCCCCTTTACGGTCGGTCTTTCATTTGTTCAATCCTGACACCCCTCGGTGTGTTATACGACAATGAAAACCTTAAAATATGCATTATCTATAACGTAACCTTGATACTTAAAACTCTTGCAGTCATTGATTTATGAAATAATCGTAGTTTATGGGTTAGTGTAGTTTTGCTGGATTATCCATTACTACAGTAGGTATGCGTTATATAACTCATGAGTTTAATTATAGATAGTAACGATGTTCGATTCTTTGACAGGCGTCCAAAATTATAAGTAATAACTACTTTTGCTTTTCAAAACATTTAAAACACAATTTATGATATTGTAAGATATGGTTAATCGATTGATCGATTAACCGTTGGAAAGACCTAGTACAGAGTACAAAGATGTTAACCGGTTAATTGGTTTTTTTCTCTCTAGTTTTTATTGATTTAATATCAATGTGTTTCGAAATCATGAATCTCAACAAGAAATTTTAAAATGATCACCGCAGTGCATACTCGCACGTTGGCTGCCACATGTGGAGCAGGATCTGCTTACCTTTTCGGAGCACATGAGATCACCCCCAGTTTTTGGTTGGGTTCGTGTTGCTCAGTCTGTAGTTTTCTATGTTGTGTTTTGTGTACTTTTGTGTACTTTTGTTTGTCTTTTTCTTTTTTAGCCATGGCGTTGTCAGTTTGTTTGTTTGAGTTTGAATATCCCTCTCGTATCTTTCGCTTCTTTTTTTTATGATAAATTTTTACAAATCAATTGTTCCGTATATTTATTACTTGATTAACAATACTAACATTCACCATATTACAAATACAGTTACCATAGATAAAGGTAGTATATGAACGTGGGGCAAAATCTATTGTTAACGTGACTGGCACGGTGTAAGTATATAGAATATATACATACTAAATGTTACCAATTTAACTTGAACATTATATTTACAGAAAAACATGTAAAAATGCGACCCGAATTAGCCACATTTTTGTCCCTTTTTTAAAGTAAAATGCCGAATACAAAATTGTTGACTGCAAATAATGTGCAATTTAACAAGAAGTTACACCCGTAATCGTGCTAAGCATACCACAGCTCAAAATACATAGTATCTGAAAACAGAAGTTTGTGTCTGACAGATCCGAATATTTCAACGCATCATTGTCGAGATGATGTCCATCTATAAACATGATAAAGACATTTGTTAAGTAGTTCATGAGCAAAGTGTGATAAACATCTTTGTTTCCTTTCAACACATTTCAAAAGATCGGTTGACGCAATCAGTGTCTGACAGATTCAATATGCAGAAAATAGCGCATGATTCACCCCTTTTGTGCACATTGAACTTGTTGCAAGAATAAAATAGGATATTCAGAAGGCATTTAAAGTCATATGAAACGAGTTTCTTGAAATTTTAATGTTATCGAAATTATAGAACCAATGCATGCATATATACTAAACTACGTCTTGCATGCACGTTTTTTTTAATATTTATTCCAAATATATAACGTATTATCGACGAATAATATTTCATTCAGTGGCTGTTGATCGCAAGCTAATTAACTTTCGTTTTTGTTGCCGAAGTTTACCGGATCGTGACATTGGTAAACAATAAACACAAAGCACGTGGAAAACATGACAGATAAGTGAATTGAAAGAGCCAAGTCATTTTTATTTATAGTTTCCATGCGTTCCCATTTGTTAATTTAACTATTCCTTAACAGTTGTTAAATGATGTGTTGTATTAAATTTGTTCTTTAAGAATCTGTTATTACTATTAACCTTCAAGAGCACGTTTGTGTACATTCTTGTATCACGGTTTTCTCGTTGCACTTGCGCGGTGTGGTGGCCGAAGTTATAACGATAGGTCTCGTAGTTAAGGTCACTGCATACGGAAAAATATCGGCGAAATAGTGTCTGGGAAGTCAATAATTCAATATCGGTACATTTATAAAGATTTTGATAACGTAACGGGATTTTCATTTTACAAAAAGTTCACGTACCCTTTTTTAGAGTAAAACTTAGCCATTCAAGTATATAAAACATATTTATCTTTTCTTTAGTTTGAAGTTACAGACTTTAATAAGAAACAAATAAACTTGTTCAATCTGTACATAAACATGCATGATTATACCCTTAGGTGCATACATATTGCATCAAATACGAATGTACTAATATGAGCAATATAACAGGTACATCATATAGAGCAGGATCTGTCCCCCTTTCCGGAACACATTGGATAACATCAGGTGTTTGGTTGGTTTGTGTTCTCTTTTTTTAATATATAATGTGTATGGTGTTTTGTATACTGTCTGTCTTTTAGTCGTTACTGGTTTTTACCATGGCGTTGTCAGTATGTCACCGGCACGAGTTTGAGTAACCTTTTTTGGTATCTTTTGCCTCTTTTTTAAATGTAAATTAATTCTGGAAAGACAAACTAGAATATTTTCCAAATCCAATGCTAATCTATATTTACCAATTCTATTAACAGTATTAATTTTGTCTTAATTTGATCCAAGCAAACAAGAGCCAGTTCATGACAATTAAAATAAAGGCATTTCATTTATATGACTGTCCAAGTTTTATAACTCTGGAAAGACATCTTGAATTTTCTTTTAATCAAACAGTGTGTTATTTCAGCATTTCCACACAATTATGTGAAGTTTCCAATAAATGAATTCAAAATTAACTCAAGTTATTTACTATGGTACAACATGTAAAACATATATTTTAATCTGTCAATTAAAGTCTCGTAATTAAAAATGTATCTAACGACAATCCAAAGAAAAAAAATCAAAAGACAAGCTTCTTTATTTCTATCAATCTCGCAATCCATCAAGGCATAATGGAATTAAGTGCGATATGTGAAAAATTGTCTAGAGTCTAATGGCTGGCTGACTCTTTTTTAAACTTCACGGTCAAAGATTTTCAAACCCGAAAAGTAGCTTTCTTCTATTAATTCTTGTTATTTACTTGATAATCATTATGTAGTATAAAAGTAACATTTTATACTTTTGCTGTGTCCGACCATTCAAATAAAATCAATTTGTTCCAAGATCCATTGTCCGACGAACACGTTACTATTCTAAACTTCGTCATGATACTCAAAGGCAAAACTTAGAAAGCGGAAGGATGTCACGTTCCACGTCATGACATCGAATCATACAACCACGCATTAACAAAGTACTGTATGCAATGTCTTTGTCGTCAACTTTACTACCCGCTTACCAGTTTAACGGTTGATAAACAATCAAAGTATTGCTTATGAAAAACTGTTGAATTGGACAACACTACTTTATGAAAAACAATACGTTTTAATTATCAAAGATTTTGAAGATCAGAAATAATAAATTTTGATTGAACATTTTTGCATTTTCTTTTATGTATAATACTTGTACCTTTTTTACAAATCGATTGTTGAATATCATCGTGTAATAGGAATTAAAGTATTGAAACATAATTATAATAATTATGATTCTTTGAGTATATAAGTTCAAAGTACAAGATCAAAAAACATCGAATCAGTTGTAGTCATGAAATGTATTGTGCTCATAAATAAATAATGATAGTCACAAAAATTATTGTACAGTCTAAAATTGTTGATAAGTTAGAACTTCAGCTCACTCTGTAAGTTCCACTTCCTTATTTGGGACATGTGAAAAAAACTTAGTAATAAAATAGTAATAAATTAACATATTTTAAACAAATCAAGGTAAAAATATACATACATTCCTTGCAGTCTCTAGTATGCCCTAGTGCTCATTGAATTACACAACGTTTCCGTATTTTTGTTTTGTGTTTTGAACATCACTGTTGCTTTAAATGGCTCCATGGCTAACAAGAAGCTTTATAATACCACCGAAAATGTTTTCAGTAGCGTAGTAAAAAGGAGTATGTCCGTTTCGATCTACTACATTTACAGTTGCATTATTTTGCAATAACAATTCTGTAATACCCGTATGTCCGGATGACGCTGAAACATGCAGAGGTGTCCAGCATTCTTCGGATTCAAACTTATTAACATTTGCTCCATGTTTCAGTAATAATTCTACTACATTTGTACATCTGTTTTTACAGGCTATATATAATGGCGTTCTACCAGTTCTATCAGGGAGATTAACTGCTGCATCCTTTTTGATTAACAGTTCTACTATATTGCTATTACCTTCGGAACACGCTTCGTGGAACGAAGTGAAGCCCGCTTTGTCACAATGATTAATGGAAGCACCATGATTTAATAATAACTTTACAATATCTCCATTGCCATTTCCACAGCCAATATGTAATGGCGTTTCACCCTCCTTATTAGAGATGTTCACCACAGCAGCACTGTGATCACATAGATATACAATTATTTCGTAATATTTGTAATGACAGGCTACATGTAATGGACTCCATCCAATTTTATCACATTTGTTGATGTCAGCTTTATTACTTAACAACATTTTAACTGCTTCTAAATGGTTTTCTCTACAAGCTATATACATAGGTGTAATTCCATTATTCGTTTGAAAGTTTACATCTGCATCATGGTCAATTAAAATTATGATGAGATCTGTATTTCCGTCTTGGGCGGCACTGAATAGTGAAGTTTGACCATGTTCATCAGGATTAATTACGTCTGCACCATTTTCGAGTAATAACTTAGCTATTTCATTATGCCTATGGTAACAAGCTAATTGTAATGGCGATTTTACCGTCTCGTTTATCCTATTAACTGCTGCGCCCTCTTTGATGAATATTTCTGCTATATTTTTATTACCATAGGAACAAGCTAAATGAAACGGGGTATATCCATTTTCATTGCAATGATCAATAGAAACACCATGTTTTAAAAGTAGTTTAACTATATCCTCATTCATATTTTTACAAGCAACATGTAATGGCGATTCGGCTATTTTATTGGAAAGGTTTACCTCTGCATTACCGTGATCACATAGATATGCCACTACTTCCTTATGGTTAGAATTAGAAGCTGCATGTAATGGACTCCATCCAATTTTATCACATTTGTTTATATCAGCTTTATAACTTAACAACATTTTTACAGCTTCTAAATGGTTTCCCGTACAAGCTATATATATCGGTGTCATCCCATTATTCGTTTGGAAGTTAACGTCTGCATCATGTTCCATCAAAATTTTAATGAGATCTGTATTCCCGTTTTTAGCGGCACCGTAAAGTGAAGTTCGACCTTGTTTATTTGAACTGTTTACTTCTGCGCCATTTTCGAGTAATAACTCAGCTATTTCATTATGTCTATAGTTACAAGCTAAAAGTAAAGACGAGTTTCCAGTCTCGTTAACTTTATTAACTGCTGCACCCGCTTTAATTAACATTGCAGCAATATTTTTCATACCATAGGAACACGCTAGGTGAATTGGGGTTAATCCATGAGCATTGTAATGATCAAGAGAAACACCATGTTTTAATAATAATGTTACTATGTCTTTATGACCTACACTACACGCAATATGTAATGGCGATTCGCCTTCTTTATTCGAAAGGTTTACTACTGCAGCACTGTGATCACATAGATATTCAACCACTTCCTTAAGGTTGTAATAAGAAGCAACATGTAATGGACTCCATCCGAATTTCTCGCATTTGTTTATGTCAGCTTTATAAAGTAACAACATTTTAACTGTTTCTAAATGATTATTCTCACACGCTATATAAATCGGTGTCATTCCATTATTCATTTGACAGTTCACGTCCGCATCATATTCCATCAAAATTTTAATGAGATCTATATTTCCGTTTTTAGTGGCACTGTGTAGTGAAGTTCGACCATGTTCATTTGGACTGTTTACTTCTGCACCATTTTCGAGTAATAACTTAGCTATTTCATTATGCATATCGTTGCATGTTAAAAGTAATGGTGAGGTTCCAGTCTTGCTAACTTTATTTTCTGCTGCACACGCTTTAATTAATTTTTCTGCAATATTTTTATTACCACCAGGACAAGCTAAATGATACGAAGTAGATCCATTTTCATTGCAATGATCAATAGAAACACCATGTTTTAATAATAATGATACTATGTCTTTATTACCTTTTTGACAAGCAAGACCTTCTTTTTTTGAAAGGTTTACTCCTGCAGCACTGTGATCACATATATATGCCACCATTTCCTTATGGTTGGCATAAGAAGCAAAATGTAATGGACTCCATCCAGTTTTCTCACATTTGTTTATGTCAGCTTTATAACTTATTAACATCTTAACTGCTTCTAAATGATCATACGCACAAGCTATATAAATAGGCGTCATTCCATTATTCATTTGAAAGTTTACATCTCCGTCATGTTCCATCAAAATTTCAATGAGATCTGTATTTCCATCTTCAGCGGCATAGTGTAGTGACGTTCTCCCATTTTCACCATGGCTGTTGACTGCTGCACCATTTTCAAGTAATACTTTGGCAATGTCATTATATTGATTGTAACAAGGCGTACGTATTGGTGTTATATTAGTCTGACCTACTTCATTAACTGCTGTCCTCTTTTTGATCAACAGTCCAAAACAAGCTGAAAGTAAAGGAGTATAACCTCTTTCATCGCAATGATTAATGGAAGCATCATGTGTGATTAATTGTTTTACTATGTCGGCATTACCTTTTTCACAGGCAAAATGTAACGGGGATTTACCTTTTTTATTTGACAGGTTGACTTCTGCGGTACCGGAATCACATAGATATGCCACAACTTCCTTCTGATTACAAAGAGAAGCTATATGTAATGGACAGAACCCATATCGATCACATTTGTTTACGCTAGCTTTATAACGTATCAGCATTTTCACTGCTTCTAAATGGTCTAGTTGACAAGCAGCATTGATCGGAGTTATGTCTTCACGCGCATACAAATTTACATCTGCTCCATGTTCTATTAAAATCTTTATCAGAGCTGTATCACCAAGAATTGCAGCAATCTGTAATGGAGTGTCTCCATCTTTATCACATACATTCACTGCATCACCGCCTTTTACTGTAATCTCGGCTACGTTTTTCTGTTCATTTGAACAGATAGGATGTAGTTGAGTGCAGTCATGTCCATCTGAATTATTATATGAAGCATCGTTTTTTAATAGTAATTCGACTATGTCCTTATTACCGTTTTGACAAGCAACATGCAATGGCGTTTGTCCTTTGTTATTTGAAATATTTGCCAATACAGCACTGTTATCACATATCAATTTAACTATTTTCGTATGGTTGTTACATGAAGCTACATGTAATGGACTTAATCCATCGTCGTCACACTTGTTTGGGTCAGCTTTGTGATGTAGCATCAATTTCACCATGTCTTCATTACTTTTTTCACAAGCAATATGTAATGGTGTTTTATCATTCCTATAGCATGTATTAATTGCAGCACCGTGCTCAAGTAATAGTTTGACTATATTCGTATGATTTCCTATACAAGTCAAATACAGTGGTGTTTCTCCAGCATTATTTCCTTTATTTACGTCTGCACCATAAAGAATCAATACTTTAGCTATGTCGTTAAACCCTTGCAGGCAAGCTACATGTAACGGAGACCATCCTTTATTTTCACATTTTGTAACATCGGCTTTGCTGTCGATTAATAATTTTACTGCGTTAAAATGGCCAAAATTACAAGCTATATACAGAACTGTCATACCGTTATTCATTTGCTTATTCAATTCTGCCTTATGACTAGCTAGAAGTTTGATAAGGACAGTATTTCCATCGGCCGCTGCCATGTGCAGTGGAAACCAACCATCTTTGCCACATATGTTTACACTTGAATTATTTTTTATCAGTTCTTCTGTGACTATCGAATATCCATAAACGCAACTTTGAAGCAGAGGGGTGTACCCTTCAGCGTCTGTCTGATCAATTCTGGCACCTTTTCTAAGAAGAAGCTGTAAAATGTCATGATGTCCGTTCATTGCGGCTTGGTGTAAAGGAGATCTATTGTAATCATCGAGGAAACTTACATGTTCTCTGTTTTTTTCAAGTAAAAACTTTGAAATATCATAATAACCTTTGGCCGCAGTGAAATGTAATGGAGTTGTGAAATCATTTATTGACGAAGAAAATTTTGGACTCATCTTCACTAAGTATTGCATAAACAAATTTCTATAGTTTTCAAATTTCATTTGAAGGCTAGCAAAAACTTCCCATGTGTAACCATTTTCAATGTCATTTAATATACGTTTGAAAAACATGGTTTCTAATTCATTTGTAATCAAAATGGTACAGTCACCATGTTGTTCGTTGAGGGAGTTTAATTGACACCTACTGCTAATGAAAGCCGATTCTCCGTGTTTTAAAATACATCGAATTATAAAGTTTGCTATAGTATGAGAAATAATGTCAAAAATTTTATCATGTTTTGTACAGAATGTAGATTCTGTTTCTGTAAGATACATGTTTTTCAGATTTTGAAGATTTGACAAAATTGAAGTTTTTGATAGGGATTTCCTGGTATCCATTTCATCAAATAAATCTTTCAACATACTATCGTATTTATCTTTTTCAATCTGAAGACCATCTTTCTTGATCGAGTTATTACATAAAACCAAGAGTGCTAGAGCTATGAACGATACGTCCTTTTTACTTTTAAAGTTTTCAATTTCGTTCTCTATAAACTGCTTTGGGTTTCGAAAGAAATCAACATCATCCATCTTATTTTCCTTAAACATTACACATAGTAAAGGGAAAAAATTGTACATCATAACTGTTTCATCAGTCAGATGACATATAACATCATTAGTAAGATACAGCTTGGCGATTTTTTTTTTTTCCACTAAAGATAAATTTATTTCATTTGATTGCAAGTTAAAATGCGCAAATGATAGAGAAGATACGCAATCGCTTACCAAATCATATAAATAGGATCTACATGTCACCATTACTTTATGGACTTTATTACTCAATAACTTCTTAATACGCCTCGTCTCTTTTTCCCAGCAGTTAAGATTGAATTCATCCAATGAATATTTACCAAAAACATCATCAAAAATAAAAAGTTGTTTGGCATTAGAATTTGACATTTTTAGTAATTCTGATGGTAACCAAATAGGTAATACTGCGTAGTTTTCTGTTTCTTGCATGTGCAAGGCCACATAATAAGCCAACGAAGATTTGCCAGATCCGGCTATACCTGTTATAATAATGCATTGATTGTTTTTAACCACTTCAATTAATCTGGTAGCAGCTTCAGTCACATAAAACTTCTCTAATTTGAATTTCCATTCTGAGATTTCTTCGATTTGAATAGCTGCAATAAAGAATTACAAAAAATATAACAATAAATAGCGTTTCGCCATTATTGTTTCATTTTGAAATGCAAAATAGTAGTTGAACCCATGAAAAAAAAAACAATTGTGAAAATATGTTTTATACAGCACGAACACTTTATTTCAAAGAAACCTCGGTTATATTATCCAATGATTTGCTGAACAATCTTTGTAATTTTGCAATGGCATAAGCAGAAAAATGATTCCTAAAATCTAAGTCTGACGTGGTATTTCAAATATTTTTATACCCAGTTTAGTAAAGATTATATCTTATTCAAGTTATTATATCGACCAATGTAACAACAATTTAGATATCATTCATTGCTCGTTCCGTAAATCAACTGGAACATTTCTTTCATGTCTTATTCTATACTTTATGCTCATTTTAGCATAACTCATAACTCTATTTATTAATTAACTTATACACAGCGTTAGCGAAGTATAACATATTTACAAACAACGGTATGCCCTTTCTGTTATAATAACATGACATGAACGTATAATTGCGAATCAAATAGTAACATTCAGAACTTTTCTTAATCAAAACGGACACATCGAACACAATTAAAGAGTGACACATGTAGGTCAGGAACTTATATCCTTTCAGATCACATGAGACAAGACTTGAATTTGGTGGGATTAAGTTGCTCAGTTTTTAGTTTTCTACGTACTATTTTGTTATTGTTGTCTGTCTTTTTCGTCGTTTTTTTGGCCATTGTGATGTAAGTTTTCATTGATTTTCGATTTCTGCTTGAATACTTGATGAACTATATGACCAAAAGGATCTACATATAATAGCCTTAAAAAGTCAATCCACCTCAGGTGGCTTCAACCTGAGTTTCTAGATAATTTCTGTTTTAATTCAATAAAAAAAGGGTGTATTAAATGTATTTACCGATGTTCAAAGGAAAACCAGAAAACCATTTTGCATTTAGAAAAAAAAAAGATGTGAAATGGATGTACATGACTTACTAGTCAAAAGCAGTAGCATAAACTTTACTTGTTATGAAATTAATTGTGTTTTATAGACATATTGACAATAAATAGGAAATTATTGAACTATCTTACAAATACTCAATAAGGCGGTAGACTTGGTAAAATCGGCTCAACTCTTTTGTTCTTTGAAAAGTAAGGGTTGCTAAATGTTGAATTTCCAATGGGCAAACAAGTGATGAGTCGATAGCATTCAGAATATTAGGAAAGACTGTCTCTTTCAGAATACATGATTAGAAACAATCGGATATTAAATACACATCCACGTTCATTTTCTATATAGAGATTGCTTTATCTATACATAATATTATACTAGTACTTATTTATTATAAGGTTAAATCAAAACTATCCTACTGCCTGTCAATACTTTTATGTTGGCATTGCACAAGTCATGTCTTCTTTGACTGTCCATGGTGTTAAAACGCTAAATCCCTGGGATATGTTTTAGTTGATTTTAGTCTCTGATGCATGATTGTTTTTATTATTAATTGTTTTTGGCTTTAAACTAGCCTACAGTAACTGCGAGTACTCTCAAATCGTACGTTCGTGTTAATTTGACCTGTTAAACAATTTGTTATGCATTTTTGTTATTCAATGTTTACTTATTTTGTGTTATATCTCGCCTCACTATTTCTAATAAGTATTTAGTATGACGATAAATTTTCACTGCTGTTCTCGTATTATGAACAACAAATTTATTTATTTTGTAAAAAATATCTCCGTACTCCTAACAACAAAATTATTATATTTGAATTTACCTATGTACGTTATTTTATTTAACGCCATTTTGTCCAAGGTTATAGTTGTCTTTTTGACATTGTGTCATAGATCAAATTTATTCGTTCAGTGTATGTTTACTTGTTTTTGTCAATATGTCTTTTTGATTGAGTTAAGCCATTTCAATTGATATTTTATAGTGTGTATTTCTATGTTGTAATGCTACACTACTATTTCAGGTTAACGTGAAGGTATGCGCCTGTTAAAACGTTTAAACCCGCTGCATTTGTCTGCACCTGTCCTTAGTCAGGAACCTGTTTCAGTGGTTGTCCTTAGTTAATGTGGTTCTTAAGTGTTTCTCGTTTCTCGTTTTTTATATAGATTAGACTGTTGGTTTTCCTGTTTGAATTGTTATACACTAGTCATTTTTGGCCCTTTATAGCTTGCTGTTCGGTGTGAGCCAAGGCTCCGTGTTGAAGGCCGTACTTTGACCTATAATTATGGTTTACTTTTTACACATTGTGACTTGGATGGAGAGTTGTCTCATTGGCACTCATACCACATCATCCTGTTTCTATATATGGCATATACATGTATGCATATATCATGATACATGTAGATTTTTATAGAGTTTTATACATTTCGAACAAACAAGTAGTTTAATTTATTACACGTTATTTGTTTAATACATGTAAAAGGTCTTCTTTTAAAGCTTACATTGTGTATTATATCTATCCAAGTTCAGGGTTTCAACTTTAGCAATGAGTTCCTCCATTTGTTTTTCTTTTTTTACAAATTCTACATAGATTTCATGAAATGAATAATCTAGGTCAGCATTTTGTAATATGATGCAATCTGCCTTCATCGTTGGACAGATAATTTCTATAGCCTGAAAACAAATATTTGACTTTGATTTACTAAGAACTGCTTATCTATTAAGGATCCATATTATACAAGTTATGGTACATATAAAGTTCTGAATGTCTTTCCAGAACCTACTTTCATAAGGATAATTCATAAGTTTTCACACAAGTAGAATATCCGAAATAAACATCCAATATGACACATACGATATTAAATAAACAAAATCAATAACATAAAGAAGATACAGAATGAACGAAATGTACTGACGCTTAAAAAATTAACGTGTTTATGTCATCGTTGTAGAAAACAATTAATTTCATCCTGAAACTGATAGTGTCCTTTAGCATATTGAAATCTAGCAAATGACCCCATTTTGTCATATTTAGAATGAAAATGCACTTACAAAAGACATCTTTATAAACCTTGGAAGAAACATTCTTTGTTTATTTTCTTTTTTTTTTGTATTTGGGAAATTATAAAAAAAAAACCTCTATCGCACAAATAATGGCACAAGTTGGAACACTTTTTTTACGTGGCATTTATACATGAAGACAAATTAGTGGAAGATACCAAAGGAATATTCAAACTCATAAGTCATTAGCAAAAAAAAAAACGCTATGGCATAATACCCGACCAAAACCGGGGATGATCTCAAATGACCCGGAAGGGTAAACAGATCCTGCTTCAATTGTGACACCCGTCGTGGTGCTCGTGTAAGTTCATATTCGGTGATATGTATCATTTGGTAATGTAACATTTGAGAATAAAAGGACGCGATGTTGGTTACGAAAAATTCGAACATATGTTTCGACGTCTCTAATCCGTAAGGGTCATCAAAATTGTGATGGCCTTCATTACATTTTCAGACAAATGACTTAAACTTTACCGTTTGGGACCCTTTGGGATTAGCTTCATTGTAAGCACTAACCATCTATCCAGAAAATAATGATAGGAAACGTTAGCTTTAGACTATCGTTTTAACTTGGATATATATATACTCTTCGAAGGCACGACTGGAATGTAGCTACATAGAAATAGACGTTCATAATTGGGAAGTTGAAACAAAGCCTTTATTTTAACAAGTAAGAATACAATGGACATTGGTAATATAGATTTTGTTTTCTATTTTTTACTGGGTACGTTAACGTAACTCTGCTGGTGGATTTGTCACTTACCGAGGGTAACATCGACACTTGTTTCTTTTTTTAACGGTAACTGTTTCGACGCTGCATTTTTATTGTTTATTTATGTATTATTAATTAAAAATTCTATTAGAATTTTAGTCAGCGTGACCAGAGAATATAAGTGGTTATGTTTTGCTCTTTCCGGTTTAATTGATGACTTTAGCGTTTTATGGATGTTGTTTCCACATCCATCAGTCTGTTTACCAATTATGTAGAATTTGTACTTAATCTAGTATGCTTTGTTATATGTATTATGAACTTTGACAAGCTATTCCACGTTTATGACATACAGTATAAAATATATACATGTACTATATCGTACATGTCGAAAGTATAACCATAAAGATACCTCTAGACAACTCGTGTGTCTGACGTACACAATTTTGTTCAAGTATGAAATGTGTTTAAACCCCTTGTTTATACAACCATTGTTTTTCTCGAAATTTAAAACAAAATGTACAGAATTTAACTTTGTTTCAACTAAAGAAACACTTGACAGGGGTCACCGGAATTTAACCATCGAATTTTCAACCCTTATGTCCTGTTTACAAGCTTTTGTAACCATGTCACCTCAGGTTTCCAAAATATTTTATAGAAACATTAAATAAAAAAAGAATCGTGCTTTGAAACACCAAAGATAGGTGTTTGAGACTTACAATTTTTGTTTTCTGCAATGAAATGCAGAATTAATTTCATATAACTGTCAAACTCAAGAGAAAAATAAAATGTTTCTTCGACCCTATTTCTTATGAAACCAGATGGGGCAATATGCGTAATCGATTCTACATAGGCGGTAATGGAAACATTTTCCTCTGTAGCACAGTCCATATCGTAAATTTGGATATGCATGATGGCTCATTTCGAAGCTGAGACATTTTCACATATGTGGTTAAATTTTCGGGGTACGAAGTGTGATTCATTTTTCGTAAATTAGCACACCCTGAAAATCCTTTCGTGATGCGACTCCTGGTGGTAAAAAATCCCTTTTTTCACACAATAAGTTCTTTGAAAATTTAATTCTTTGCCTACATTTAATAACTGCATAGTTTTTACACATTTATTCTATGGTCCTCTACTTTTCAAATCAACACAAATGGTTAAGCTCAGTCACTTGTTAAAAATAGAAACATGTCCAATATCACTACACAGAGATTTTTTGTTTACGCACAACTTTTGTGTTCCTCAATTTGAGGCGCATTAGGGATAATGACCCAGATGTGACGTATCATGATTTAGTGGTGTCATGACACATTAGTGTAGACATTGATAATCATATGCTCGAGTTTGGAGGATCCTTCTACTGGTCAAATCAAGTCATTATGATATATAATATCAAGTTTTGTCATAAGCCTTGATAGAGACTCTTGTGTTTTTTCATTTGTTTTCTTATTAGGGATTGTAGTATCTTACCTTAGAAACTATAGCAAATGTTGTACTGAAGTCTGCTTCAGACATAGCGCCCGAGTCAGAATGAGCAATTTGATTTCTGTAAAATTTGATTCTCGATACAGCCGCTCCTTCACTCAAGTCACATGGTAGTGGTAGTTGGTCCTGTATAGTTATCGTAGTTAGGTTTCGAAGTAAACACACCATCAATGTTAGGTCGAAGTCATTCGATTTCGGATCGGAACCTGAAAATGAACTTTATTTGGTATTGACTTTTGCTCACATATGTAGTGAGCTACATTCACACAAACGCTTTCCTCTTATACATGTATTTTATTATATTTCTCACACATTTTTCGAGCGTCACATTAGTCTTGTGTAAATGAAACGCGGGCCATATGTTCAAAACTATTATTATGCCTAACATCTTTGCTCATTTCTTTATATATATATATATACTTAGTGATACATTATTCTGGAAGATATTGGATGATAAAGGTAATGACGTATCGTATATTTTCCTACTTATGACCTGTTTAAGAGACGTCTGAATTTGACTATCTTTTTGCTTATTGTTTTGGTGGCTGCTGTAATGAGGTTGTAGTTTGTTTCATCGGATGTTCGTTGCCCGTTTTTTTTCCCTTCCCTTATCTATTTGTATTTACCACCATATAAACATTATTCAATTGAAACTTATGTCGTCATTTGTAGAAAAGATAAGCGATAAATTATATCATTGGATATAGTTCGATTTCAAATACCAGAACCGATCGAATCGCTTTTTGCAGCTTTATGTTCCGTTTCCTGTCAATAAAAAAGATTGTTATCGCTTCTGTTTAGAAACAGTTTCAGATATCAAGAAAAACAATTTACATATTATTTGATGAGATCTGATAAGCAGGAAAATATTGTGTTATCTAAATATAAGCAAGTTGATCATCAAAGTAAATATATTCACCTGGTGGAAACAATAAACTCCATTGCGCAAGTGTTATGACATGTTTCTTTTTCAGCCCATCCAGTTTCGTCCAGTTCTGTGAGAAAACTGATTTCAATCCACCTGGATTAAACTCTCTATTGAAAAGAGTTCTAACAGCATTAGGTGAAAGTCTTATTAATAAGTGGGCAACTCTAAGAAAATTGGTTTCCTCCCTTGATAATACTGGTACTGCTGATGCCATTCTACCAAACACAATTTCCTTATTGAAACACTTAAATATAAGATTCCATAAAATTATCAAAATTATACACATATTAATTTTTTTATTAGTTTGCCTTCATCGTAGGCTGCTTGAATACTTTAATCTGATTTAAATAATTAATATCAACTGTTATTTTCACAGATAGAAAAACCTTTTTCATTTACAGGAGAACAGTACAGGCTTATATTTTAAATCTTCAATTCTTTACACGTGGGTGTCTACCATCTCAAGAACAAAGATGTATCTTGTATTACTAGTATTGCGCATCAAATAACAAAATGTTTACTGCATTCCTGGATAACCAATTTCAATGTGAAACGGTTATTTTGATCTTAACAGCTGTTGAAAGAAAAAAACGAAAAATAAATGATGGAGTTTTTTTTCAGCCTATCAGTCAATTTTCAGACTTATTCACTCTACTGTTCAGAGAATTGTCTGAGCAGAACTTAATTCAATGCAGTAGATAAGTATGAAAATCGACTCAAATATCGAACAAGCCTAAATGATTATTTGTCCAGACTTTTAAGCTGATGTTATGATCAAAATATACTGCAAGAATACAAGACTAAAATTCATTTACTAATCAGACTGATCATTCCGTCGTTTCTATGACAGTTCGCATTATCGAAAAAATATACCACAGGATTAACAATCCTCATCTTGCAACGCCTCTCTGTAGACAAAAAGAGGACCACTGGATTCGACACTGGGAACTGCGACACCATGTGGTTGCAATGACAACATCGATGGTATAGGTATTCTATCTTGTCCTTCCTGTAGCTCGGTGAATGTGATGAATATTTTCAACTCTACTCATCGACGTAGACGCAGTCATGGTCATCGTCATCAAACATCACATACTATGCATGATCTCTCTATTAATGACTTGGTGCCATGTAAACAAAAGCCGTTAGGTATTCATCACATTCGCACGAAACTTTATTCATTACCCCTATCAAAATTCATTTTCTGTTCAATTTATGTTTGGAAACCACTGTTACAAACCCTCATTCAAACCAATACAAACTTACAGCTATCATTTCGGATATTGCAAGTCACAGACTTTTCAAACCAGTTCGCATTGGAAAAGATGAAAAATAGAAAAGATCTTTTCTTAAACTTTCCATTGCCAACAAAGGTCTCGATGGCGTCAACTTAGGCAATATCCTTCCTCATAAATTAGTTCAATCGAAAATACCTCCTTATTTTAAAGATCAGTCTGTACCAATCGTTTCTTATACCTATACCAAACGAATTGCAACTAAAACTTTCAATTACAAACACGTTTTGTAGGATCTTAATATTGACGACTTCAAGTCTAAACCTTCTGATTGCATCTGTGCTAGTTCCCAAATCACATATAATCCGTCTGGCCACGTTATTACCGGTGACCTCAACATTGTCAATAACACTTCCCTGCGAAATGTGTTATGCAAAGGTCCGAAATATCGTTAGCCTGAATCAATCAATTGGAAATACAACTTCAAAATACTGATGGATTCGGTCGAGGATTATGCCAGGCAATGGGCTAAACGCGAGAAAGAAGTCGTAGATACTCTTTCCGAATGGATTAAGGCTGTGAGGTCGTTGATACAAATCAGAATTAAAGTATGAATTGGTCTATCAATACCCATGCTACGTCAATCTTAAGACCCAAGTGTTGAAAAATACTTATCTTACCTCTATGACACATATGTTGTTGTTCCCGCAGATAAAGCCCCAAACAACATCGTTTTTGTGTGTATATCGCATTACATAAACTGCTTGATAAATGAATTAGCTATTGACAACTCACTTGGAAACTCAGCATATACCCTCACGACACTTACTAAAGAGGAAATCTGGATAATCATAGGTCTGTTCTATGTTCTTTCGGAATTTCAACCAAAGATGAAGAACTGGATCTTGCATCACTGTATTTGATACCTAAATTACACAAGTGTCCTTACAAACACGGGATATTGCTGGGTCTTCCAAGTGCTCCATAAAACCTCTTTCTAAATTATTAACATCTATTTTATCAGCAATCAAAGCCGGGTTTCAAAGATTTTGTGAAACTGCCTATTTTAGAGGTGGCGCGAATCAGATGTGGATACTAAACAATTCCTAAGGTCTTTTAAAGTACATACAATAAAGGCTCTTTAATCTTGCAATAGTATTAAAACAATTGAATTTTCTACACTTTAAACAAGTATTCCCCATTCCAAACTAAAAGACAAATTGAAAGAGTTGGTATTGCTTTGTTTCATAAAAAAGAATGACCAACGGAGATACAAGTATCTTGTGTTAGGAAGGGATAAATCCTACTTTGTAAAGAATCACTCTGATTAAAAAAAAAATTCTCTGAAACTGACATTATCAAGATGCTTTATTTCGTGATTGACAACATATATGTTACTTATGTCGTAACTACAATCCCGTTCCCTTTTCACGAATGTGACCTACCGAATTAAGAGTATTTACCGGGTTCGTAATAACATGAGCAACACGACGGGTGCCGCATGCGGAGCAATCTGCTTACCCTTCCGGAGTACCTGAGATCACTCCCAGTTTTTGGTGGGGTTCGTGTTGCTTAGTCTTTAGTTTTCTATGTTGTGTCTTGTGTACTATTATTTGTCTGTTTGTCTTTTTCTTTTTTAGCAATGGCGTTGTCAGTTTATTTTCGATCTATGAGTTTGACTCTCCCTCTGGTATCTTTCGACCCTCTTTTACTAGCTGAACGTTTTAAAAATATCTCTCTGACAGGAAAAGACCTATATTAACATGAGTGCATAAGCTGAAATATATTGCCTGCTTTACTTATCATGATTGAACTAAAATTGTCTCTGTAATACGAATTTTATACTTAAAGTATCACATAAATTTAATATTTTCAATGATTAATGCAAATGAGGTCAAGGTCTCGTGAACCCTACCAGACAATCAAAATCATATAATATTGTATCATATCCATACACTACAAACTGATCAGAGTCTGAAAAAAAAACAGTTTTTGTGCTCGACCAGTAAAGTCGAGCACAGATTTTACTCGACTTGTCTCGACAGTACTTAACTGTACTCGACTTTGGTCTCGACTTTACTTAATAAGTCTGATTCAGTAATTGATGATCTTGGTGTAGTCTGAAATGGTCTCGACCAAGGCTCGACCTGTCTCGACCAGTCTCGACCAGTTTTGACCAGTCTTGACCTGTCTCGACCAGTCTCGACTCAGTCTCGACCAGTCTCGACCTGTCTCGACTAGTCTTGACCTTCAAATTTAGTCTCAACTAGATCAGCCAATCTAACTAATTTAAATATTGATCTTACAAAATTCCAGGTTATTTGGTAGTTGGTTCATTGCTGGGAAATTAAAGAAGTAAATTAATAGGTAAAAAAAAGCAAGAATTTTTAGTTTTGACTAAATTCAGATAGTCTTGGATTTTCATAAAACTATACAGCTATCTCAATTATACATTGATCTTACTGAATCCAAGGTCGTTATGTAGTTTGGTGTATTGCTGTCAAATTAAGAATTTAATTAATAGGTAGATTTTTCAGTGGGACTGAATTCAGCTAGTCAACTTTAAATTTGTTTATTATTTATTCAAATTGAATTGGATTTTCATAGAACTATACAGCTATCTCAGTTGTATATTGATCTTACTGAATCCCAGGTTAAAATGTAGTTTTGGTGTATTTCTGTCAAATTTAAGGATTAAATTAATAGGTAACGAAAAAGAGATTTTCATTTTTTAGATCTATTTCAATTATACATTGATCTTACTGAATTGTTATGTTGTTTGGTATATTGCTGTCATATTTAAGGATTTAATTAATCAAGGTAAAAAAAGCTAGAATTTTCAGTTTGGACTAAATTCAGATAGTTATCTTCAAATATTTATTATTAGTATTTTAAAAGGAACTTGGATTTTCATCAAAATCTACAGCTATCTACATTATATATTTATCGTACAAAATACCAGGTTATTTGTTAATTTGGTTTATTGCTGTCAAATCAAAATATTTCAGCCTTTTTTACCTATTACCTAAGTCCTTAAATTTGACAGCAATACACCAACATACAAAACAACCTGGCATTTTGTTAGATAAATATATAATAAAGATAGCTGAAAAGTTTGATAAAAATCCATACTGATTTGAAAAAGTTATAAAATTTTAAAAATGCCACCTTTGTTTCGTTAAAACAAGAATTTGAAATAATCATGATAATAGAACTTTCATAGGAATCCTTGATAACCTTTTAAAATAATTTTTGTCATAATTAAAGACATGGCATACAAGAAGCACTTTGATAAGGTTTAATTACATCAGTATATGTGTGTTTTACAGTTAAAAAGAAGCCCTATTTTTCTTAAACTCATGTATTACTTATCTGGTGAATTCAAAAGGCCTTGCGATTTAAGTTAAACAGGATGTTGCAATTTTGAATGAATGTTATTTAGAATTTAATACTCTCTGACCAGGTTGTGATCTTTTTAATGAGTTTTCCCCAAGAAGGAGGTATTAATTTATACTTCACCACTAATCAGAAGAACAATTTTATTAATTTCTTTAATTTTTTAATCCGCTTTTGATATATATTATATATACTATATCCCAAATTATAATAATAGATATATTTCTAATATAAGGTTACGGGTGCGGGATTTTCTTGCTGCGTTGAAGACCCATTGATGGCCTTCATGTGTTGTCTGCTCTTTGGTCAGGTTGCTGTTTCTTTGACATATTCCCCATTTCCATTCTCAATCTTATTAAACAATTTCAGTGATTTTGTTGGCTGTTGTTACCTCATTAATAAGATGATTATATAACTAAAGTATAATCATGAAACCTAGTTTATTTTTTAAGAATTTAGGAAAATTATGTTAAGAAAAAAATAACACATGCCAAACCATATAAGATATATTGATTTAACTATCTCTATTTGATAAATCTGAGAATCATGTAAGGATTTAAAAATCTGTTTTTATATATATCTTTATATTATTGTGGCTGTTGCCATGTCAGTTAAAGAGAAATTTATTTTAACCGTTAATTTAGTTCGCATTGAATTCTTATAGTCACCTATAAATTTTTTTATAACTTTTTCAAATCAGTATGGATTTTCATCAAACTTTTCAGCTATCTTTATTATATATTTATCTTACAGAATGACAGGTTGTTTTGTATTTTAGTGTATTGCTGTCAAATTAAAGGACTAAGGTAATATGTTAAAAAGGCTGAAATTTTCAGTTTTGACTAAATTCAGACAGATATTTATAATTTAAATATTCAAATTTGACAGTTATAAACCAAATTAAGAAATAAACTGGTATTTTTTAAAATAATTATATAATGGAGATAGCTGTAGATTTTCATGAAAACCCAAGTTGCTTTAAAAACGTTATAAAAATTTTTAAAGATAACTATCTGAATTTAGTCCAATCTGAAAATTCTAGCTTTTTTTTACCTTGATTAATTAAATCCTTAAATTTGACAGCAATATGTCAAACAACATTACAACCTGGGAGTTAGTTAGATCCATATACAACTGAGATAGCTGTATAGTTTTATGAAAATCCAAGTTAATTTGAAAAAGGAATAAACAAATTTAAAGTTAACTATCTGAATGCAGTCCGACTGAAAATTCTAGCTTTTTTTTACCTACATGTATTAGTTAAATCCTTAAATTTGACAGAAATACACCAAACTACATAACGACCTGGGATTCAGTAAGATCAATGTATAATTGAGATAGATGTAGAGTTTGATGAAAATCCAAGTTGATTTGAAAAAGTTATAGAAATAATTAAAGTTGACTATCTGAATTTAACCAAAATGAAAAATCTCTTTTTTTTTTACCTATTAATTTAATCCTTAGATTTGACAACAATACATCAAATTACCTAATAACCTAAGATTCAGTAAGATCAATATACAACTGAGATATCTGTATAGTTCTATGAAAATCCAAGTTAATTTGAAAAAATAATAAACAAATTTAATGTTGACTAGCTGAATTCAGTCCTACTGAAAATTCTAGCTTTTTTTTTACCTATTAATTAAATCCTTAAATTTGACAGCAAAACACCAAACTACATAACGACCTGAGATTCAGTAAGATCAATGTATAATTGAGATAGATGTAGAGTTTGATGAAAATCCAAGTTGATTTGAAAAAGTTATAGAAATAATTAAAGTTGACTATCTGAATTTAACCAAAATGAAAAATCTCTTTTTTTTACCTATTAATTTAATCCTTAAATTTGACAACAATACATAAAACTACCTAATAACCTAAGATTCAGTAAGATCAATATACAACTGAGATATCTGTATAGTTCTATGAAAATCCAAGTTAATTTGAAAAAATAATAAACAAATTTAATGTTGACTAGCTGAATTCAGTCCTACTGAAAATTCTAGCTTTTTTTTACCTATTAATTAAATTCTTAAATTTGACAGCAATACACAAAACTACATAACGACCTGAGATTCAGTAAGATCAATGTATAATTGAGATAGCTGTATAGTTTTATGAAAATCCAAGTTGATTTGAAAAAGTTATAGAATAATTAAAGACGACTATCTGAATTTAGTCAAAACTGAAAATTCTTGCTTCTTTTTAACTATTAATTTACTTCTTCAATTTCCCAGCAATGAACCCTGAATGAATTACCAAATAACCTAGAATTTTGTAAGATCAATATTTAATTTAGATAGATGGGCTGATTCAGATCAGTTGAGACTAAACTTGAAGGTCAAGACTAGTCGAGACAGGTCGAGACTGGTCGAGACTGAGTCGAGACTGGCCGAGACAGGTCAAGACTGGTCAAGACTGGTCGAGACATGTAGAGCCTTGGTCGAGACCATTTCAGACTACACCAAGATCATCAATTACTGAATCAGACTTATTAAGTAAAGTCGAGACCAAAGTCGAGTACAGTTAAGTACTGTCGAGACAAGTCGAGTAAAATCTGTGCTCGACTTTACTGGTCGAGCACAAAAACTGGTCTATTCAGACTCTGAGCGGTTTGTATTGATAGTGTCACTACTTGAGTGAGGACTATAGAGTACCCCCTTAAAGAGGTAAAGCTAAGTCAATTTTCAATATTAATTCGGTAAATTGGTACATATCAAGTAGGGGACACGTGATACTGTAAAGATCACCAAAAGTCGTGTTAATTAGTAAGCCATACAAAGCATGTCAAGTTAAGCTTACGTCTGTCGGACATGCATGATCGGCCACCACATTTCATAGACCTTCGTCTCAATCTTAGTAAAACACTTAATCAAACAAAAAATTCGGATCAAACAGCCATTTCCCGTTCGAATAGTTTTACACTAGTCATTTTTGGGACCCTTTATAGCTTGCTGTTCTGTGTGAACCAAGGCTCCGTGCTGAAGACCGTACTTTGACCTATAATGGTTTACTTTTATAAATTATGACTTGGATGGAGAGTTGTCTCATTGGCACTCATACCACATCTTCTTATATCTATATATGAGAATACTGTTAAGGTATGTTATTATAAACGTAGGAAATGATCGTCTTACCAAAAAGTAAAATAACAAAAATATTGAATTTCAAGGAAAATTCAAATGGAAAGTTCCTAATCAAATGGCAAAATCAAAAGCTCAAACATATTAAACGAATGGATAACAAATGTTATACTCCTAACTTGGTACAGGCATTTCATCAGTAGAAAATGATACCTCTCACTTGTATGACAGTTGGATAGAATTCCATTACATTGGCAACTATGTGTTAGCAAAACAAACAGACACAAAAGGTAAAAATATCAACAAATGTGGTACAGCAGTCAACATTGTATTAACTGATATATCAATTTCATCTGTAAGAAGATCTAATGAACCTTGCTTTTGATATTTTGCTTGAACAAAAACCCCTGCTGAACAAATAATGAAGGGTATCATTTCCTTTTTTTTTTCGTTTGTTAATATTTTATCCAATACATATTTTTTTCTTTATTATGTCAATAAACTCATCATAGATACCAGGATTAAAATTTTGTATTTGCGCCATTTCGTCTACAAAAGACTCATAAAAAAAGTTAAAAGGGCCAAATAAAGTACAAAGTTGAAGAGCATTGAGGACCAAAAATTCCTAAAAGTGTATATTACTTTATTTCAACGGGCCATATGAAATATTATTCATTTTCAAATTATCTCAATTATAGAAACGCAAGACGGTATCAAGGAGTGTACGGCTATAATAATATTGTAGTATTGCCCTACAAAATGTAGATGTGATTTTTATGTCGTTATATTTTAGTTTAATGAATAGGTCTTTTTTCTTTTAGATCATATTGTTTTTTGATGTAAGTATTTCTATGCCAAAATAATTTTGAATACTAGCAGTACCTTATAAAATGTTCAAATACTATTCCAATTCAAAACAAAACCAGTTGTTCAACCCTTCTCAAAATGGCTACCAGGAAACTATTAACTTGGAATTTTTAAATAACTTTCGATGACGTTTACATACTATTCAATTTATCATGTTTATGAATAGATTCTATATTTCAAGTGTAACGGAAAGAGGTAAGGTAGATATATGAATTTCCGTCAATGTACACTGAGTTTAAATGTTTAAATAACACTTTTTATATTGTTAAATAGGCTTATCAAACTCCTCAAAATGTCAAGTGGGCCTTTCATATTGATCATGTATCCCTTACAAAATTAAAGAGATCATAAAGTCTCACTAAATATCTAACTTTTAAAACTACTCTTTAAAATTTAAAAAAGAAAACAGAATTAGGACTTGTGCATTAGCTGCGTTGCTAACTTTATTGCTTTGTTGTTTTCCATTCGTTGAATGAGTCTGATCTTTTGCTTTTGCTATTTGATAAGGAACTTTCCGTTTTGAGTTTTCCTAAGATAATTTTGTTATTTTACTTTTTATAAAAGAAAGCAGATTTATCCTACTGCCTGTCAATACCTTTATTGTTGGCATTGTACAAGTCATGTCTTCCTTGACTGTCCATGACGTTAAAATACTAAATCCCTGGGATGTGTTTTATTTGATGTTAGTCTATGACAATGTCTGATGAATGATTTTTTATTATTAATAGTTTTTGGCTTTTAACAATTTTTCAGTTACTGCGAGTACTCTCAAATCGTACTTTCGTGTTAATTTGAACTTTTGATACTATTGCTTTTTTGTTATTTAATGTTTACTTATTTAGTGTTATATCTCGTCTCTAATTATTAATATATACCAGCTTTGATAAGTGTGTGGTATGAATATAAATTTTCATTTCTGTTCTCGAACTATGAACGAATATTTCCGTATTACATTACTGTATACCTTACAATAAAATTATTTTCATTTACCTATGCACATTATTTTATTTGGCGGCATTTTGCCCAAGGTTATGGTTGTCTTTCTGATATTGATTAACATCTTACCCTTTATTCTATTGATTTATGTATTTACATTGTGTCATAGATTAAATTTATTCGTTCAGTGTATGTTCATTTGTTTGTCTTAATATGTCTTTTGATTGAGTTAAGCCATTTCAATTGATGTTTATAGTGCGTCTTCCTTTGTTGTGATGTTTCACTATTGTTTCAGGTAAGTGTGAAAATTGGTACATTTTGAAACGTTTAAACCCGCTGCAATTGTTTGCATCTTTTCTAAGTCAGGAACCTGATGTTCAGTAGTTGTCGTTTGTTGTTGTGGTTCATAAATGTTTCTCTTTTCTCTTTTTTTATATATATATTAGACCGTTGGTTTTCCCGTTTGAATGGTTTTATACCTGTAATTTTTCAGCCCTTTATAGCTTGCTGTTCGGTGTGAGCCAAGGCACCGTGTTGAAGACCTATACTGGTTTACTTTTAAAAATTGTGACTTGGATGGAGAGTTGTCTCATTGGCACTAATACCACATCTTTTTATATCTATTTATGACCGGTTACTTTTTTTTTTGGTGATGAATCAATATATAAAGTCATCTTCCATTTGTTATATGATATAATTCCAATGAAGGTCCAAAAGTTATATTTTATTTTTATTATATTTGCTGATGCAACCAAGTGTAACCAAGTAACATGAAGTTGTATCGATATCATATTCAAGTTCAATATTATCTAATATTTCCAAGGAGCAATTTTAATGTCCTGACTTATCTATACATTTGATCCTTTTAACTTTCACCAGATAGTCAACATTTTGTATTTGTGTTTTAATTGTCAACATGTTGTACCCATGCAGCAATGAACAGAAATAAGTTGTCGAAAAGTGCATCTAATAAAATAAAGTTCGTTTGGTTAGGGTTAAACATATGGCTTAACAATATTAGTCAGTAACCATGCATTTTCCAAAGATGTCCATACAGTCACCCCCAGTTTTTGGTGGGGTTCGTGTTGCTTAGTCTTTAATTTTCTATGTTGTGTCATCTGTACTATTATTTGTCTGTTTGTCCTTTTATTTTTGGCCATGGCGTTGTCAGTTTGTTTTCGATCTATGAGTTTGACTGTCCCTCTGGTATCTTTCGTCCCTCTTTTTTCAGCACATAATAAATTGTCCATCAAAGATTGGTTTAAATCTACTTTACGATTTACGATAAATCATGGATAACCTTTTTTCAGAATTTGATCGTATTTTATTCTTTTAATTATATCTTATAAACTCTACAGAAATCCCATAAATCACATGTTGAAAATATATTTTTAAACAGAAATAGAATATTTTATACACTATATAAGATCTCCTAATTCGTTAAAAAGATATATTATAAAGATATACAAAGATGTCTTATTAATTATAGACTATATTTACTTCAAATTTTAAAAAAACATCTCATACATAATACAGAATAACATTTTTAGATATCTTTAAATTGCATAATTAACGAAAAATGGCTATCCATTCGAATATGTGTAAAATTGGCGAAGAGGCAAATGCTATGTTTCTGTCACTCTTCTCTTTTTCAATAATAAACCGATCAAAAGTGTTTCAAGAAATTAATAATTTTGTCCCACATAAAGGAGACGGGAACTTGATGTTGTAACTTTTCAATAGAATGGGGTGCTCCTTTTTGTTTAGATACATATCATTTTTTTATGATTGAAATACATTCTTCCTCTTAAAAAAATTAGAATTTTCTGCCAAATAAGTTTAATTCCGTACCTTATAAAATGTTTAAATACTACCTCAATTCGAATTAAAACCAGTTTTCTAAACCTTTTCAAAATAGAGACTATGAAATATTAACCTTGTTGTTTTTTAATAGCTTTCGATCAGGTGAAAAAGGAAATACCTTAGGCACTTGCCGTCAACGTGCACACTGTTTAAAGAACATTTTCTTTTGTTTAAAAATGGTGTTATCAAAGTCATCATCGCATACAAACAATCAAAACAAAGGATTAGCGAGGCAATATAGAAATTTACTAGCTAGCAGGGGATAAAATTGAGAATGGAAATGGGGAATGTGTCAAAGAGACAACAACCCGACCATAGAGCAGACAACAGCCGAAGGCCATCAATGGGTCTTCAATGCAGAGAGAAACTCCCGCACCCGGAGACGTCCTTATGTCTGTCATAACATTATGAATGAATTTGGCGAAAATCAAGTAAATATAGTATGAGCCTAGGCTCCGTGTTGCAGACCGTACTTTGACCTGTAATGGTTTACTTTTACAAATTGTGACTTTTGATGGAGAGTTGTCTCATTGGCACTCATACCACATCTTCTTATATCTATAGTGTAAAAAATGGACATGTTCATACATTGATCGCTACATCAAATGTATTAATTAGAAAACCGACGACCAATCAGCATTCTTCTAGTTCTTAATTGAACAATTATTTGTACTACTGTGATGTTAAACCTTAAAGACTTGAATCATTTATTTACAAAAATTATCGCTTCATTGAAATATTGCAAATGTTTGATTGATTATAACTAAACTATAACAAAGCTTATGATAAATACTCTGAAATCAGTATGTTGACCTTAAACCATCAATTGAAGAATTATTGTCGTGATTTAACACATAAGACACCGATATAGATGAATTGATAGAATAATACTTGACCACAGATCTTTTTTATACCCAAGATAACCACAAATATCGTAAAAAAATGAAAGCAACACGTTATAAATTGCATGCGTCCGAAGCGCTTTTCTGAATTTACCTTCATCAGGAACGCCGACAGCAGAAAATTTGATAGCCAAAGATAAATAAGGACCGAAAACGTTGAAGAGCTATAACATGCTCAAGTAAACAACCATTCACTTTCTGTCTGTTTAACATGTTTAATCAGAAGTAAACAGGTGTTAATAACAGATTTAACACATAATTCTGATTTAATTATTAATGTAAATAAAGATACCCCTATTATAAGTATTCTATAAGCAGGAAGTTGATGAACAATGAACTTGAAAATGCATCACACTTTGCAGCTTCCGCATTTAAAACTTGATACTATATCTTAGGAAGCTCTGATTTGTAGTTCGTAACAAACATTTCTTCAATGGTCATAATGTGTAAAAATATATAAGTATTTTGAAAAATGGAAGTTGATGAGATATGAATATGAAAATCGCATGGTAGAACATGCTCAGATAAAGCCTCATACTTAATATTATCTAGAGATAGGCCAGAACAAAATTACATTTTTTCTATAAAATATTATGAAATCAAACAAATTAGGTTTTTTTTAAAGGTATGAAAAAGGATATTTTAATTAATCAAATATCTAAGTGAATCTAGTTTTCCTTAGCAATTGTTGAAGGGATGGGGGTCTAAATCAAATGCATGGGGGCATCACCATGTATAAACCCTTTAAGATTATAATAAACAATTAATTTCCCCATAGGCGACAATGATAGCCTTTTTCGAGATACAGACTTTAGAAAGCTGATTTTTTTAACGAAACCTTGCTAGAATTAAAGAAAAGTTATTAGGACAGTATTTTTTGGTCCAAAAAATATAGGTTCGCGTTGCTTTTCTTAGCGTAATTTGTACTTATCTCCCATGCCTATCAATTTTGCACTTAAAAATACGTGTCTCATCCTAGCGTTTAAAAGACATCTCAGTTCCGTTAGGGCTAAGGAAAATAATTTATTTGGCCTTTGGTATAATGCAGAATGCACGAAGTCTCTAATTACAAAAAATAACGGGCGCACATATCAACCAATCAGGATTAGCTATACTCTTAATTCTGAATACCATGTTATGCTCATAAAATGGCTGCGCCCATAAAATCTAATGGTGTATTGTAACCTATACGCTATTTAATACTTTCTAGAATCATGCAATTCATAGTTCGTTAGATGCATAAATATATATGCCACACAAAAATCATCTTCAAAACGTTCTGGCATTACTCTCTGAATTTTCACAATTTTTTATCAGAGGTAACCCCAGTCAAAAAATGTGAAAAAAAAATTTCTGATTTTTTTAGTAAATGCGGTACTGCTAAAAA